ACAGTACGTTATATATATATATATAGCAGCTATTATGTTATTTTTTGAAGAGTCGTCATTTCTAAGCAAGAAGGTTTATTTACTATAATAATATAGATGAGACTTGTTTTTTTTTTGATTCGTCGCCAGAAATATGTTTGAATTAGGGGAAATGGCTGTCTCTGGTTACCAACTGCTTACTGCATTGCAACATGTGCAATTTTTATTTTAATATGATACTAGCGAGGCAATGAAGAAAATAATGGCTGTTTTGTTGTATTCAACAACACAGCCCTGCGACAAGATATGAAACTACGACAAAATATGATATGGAAACCTCGTCACGATGAATAAACAATGTCTTGGCATGCTTAAAACCTGGTACTGTATTGCATACAATGCCAAATATGGCTCGTCTGTCCTATATTTATCCATCAGAAAATTGCGTGTGAAACAGCGGTTATTGGCGTGTTACAGAAATCACGTTAGCACTTACCAGCGCCAACTCCGGAAAGTGATGTTTTATTTAACGCTCGCAATTTCAATTGCCTTCAATATGGGGCGGGCGGGGCGTTCTTTGATGCCCCGTACATGGAGTATCGACTTGCTTGAATCGAGTGTAAGCCAGCCCATTTAATGGCGATTGGGACCATGTGTTCTTCTCTCATTAATCAAATAATCAAAGATTCATAAGTGTAAAATAGCAAGTATATGTACCGGATAGCTTAAACACTCCATACAGTTGCTGAGTTAACTATACACAAATCTATATTTGAAGATTTTTTGTTGCCCCATATACTTTAATGTCTTCCTCTGTGAGTTTTGCTAACTAGTTTCAGTAGTTATCTACTTACCACTATACTTTATTGCATTATGAGTAAGGCACTTAACGCCTATGACCATAGCAATAACAAGGTGCTATGATTTAATTCAGTAAAGGATATAATTAAAGTTACGTATATTAGCGACAGGATATGATACCTATATAAAAGGAAAGTATAGCAATAAAAATTGAATAATCAGTATACCTATATAATTGTGCCAATTCGAAAATATTTTTTTTAAATTTGAAATAACACTGAAGAAACATTGGCGGAGCAAATATCTGTTTCTGTTTGTCAAAATAATCTTTTCATGTCTTTATTCAATGATTGTTTGCATTGATCTTCGTGTCTCGTTTCTTACTCTAGATTTATGGATTTCATTTTCGACCTCTTTTATGTTTTATCAGGTTAAAATAATGTTATGATTACAATGGTAAAACTGTATGAGATTTGGAAACTATGAGTCAATTATGAGTTGAAAATTTTATCTTCCCATAACAACTAATTTGTGCTATATCTCGAAAATAAATTCATAAATTGATTATCGAATACAGAATTTTTCACAAAAACCCTGTGGCCTCGTTTATATTTTCCGGTGTGTAATTGACATATGAAATACGTACGTCAAGCGTTCGTCCATAGTTTAATTCAGAATGCTTATTTCCTCCAAATATTCAGTACCCCTTTGACGTGATATGTAATCCGATTGTTGGACTGTCCGTATGGTCATATTTACGTTGTTGTTGAAGAATAGAAAATGTATGAATTATGCATAATGCATACGTTAATATTGTTACAGCATTTAGTAAAATATAAAATATTTCGCAGTTAATCACATGAAGCAAGCGTGAGCAACTGGATGTCAGTTAAATACATGAATTGATTATCTTGAAAAACAGGAATTTTTGTGTTTTTTTGTAAATCTTGTCACCATTGTTACATCAATTTTGTAACGTTCGCAGTATATCATTATAACGTCCTAGTGGTAAAGACTGTCGGTGTGAAAGTATCACTTTTGTATTGTACCGCAAAACGATAATTTTTTAATTTAAAAAAATGAATTGGGGTATGTGATAGTTCTATAATTTAGGGTTTGGGTTCAAAATATATTTTTGTTGAAACGTGGGTTAGAGAGAATGCACAAACCAATAGTTATTACTATTGTAACTCAAGCGTGGCGGATTGAAATAGAGTTGATGTTGGGTTGTTATTTTGCTTCTGACATACAGTTTATTTCTCCGGACATATACATCGATGTTTTCCAAACTTTCGTTCAATTTATTTTTTGTTCTATTTCAATATGTGTGTATAACTTAAAGGTTTTGTTTTTGTTAGAACAAGTGCTTAGAAAAATACATGTTAAGAGTATAGACGTTAGTATCATGCTTTCTACACGCCAGTATCCATGATAACTCAATAGCCTATGATTCTAGAAAGGTAAGATTATGGTATTCAAAAAGTATCTTTAGTATGTTGAAGCCAGGACCTGAAGACCTGAAGCAATTTCGAAAGATATATAATTAATAGTTTTGAAACTTGACGTGTGTGGGCATTTCTAAATGAAAATCGTAATTTTTTTGAAGTTTTCCGTTATTTTGATTTTATAAGTTATTTATTTAGTCTTTCGATAAGAGCGTATACACGGTCTTAGGAATTAGATCATGCCACTCAAAGTGTGCGATATCTGGTGTCATTGAACGATATCAAGATCTAGTTAAACTGAAAATTGGCTTGATCCATATCATTAGGTTGGTGTAGTGATCGTTAAACTTACTCGGCTAACATTTAGGCGATTTTGAGCTCGCACAAGCCTTAGCGTTGCCAATAGTTGGATAATGGGTTTAGTCCGAGGCCGCTTTCGGATATTTTTTTTTTCGGATACTTGTAAATAGGGATGTAAGTTTCGAATATTTGTTTTCGAATCGAATTCCGAATCGGAATGTTCCGACTCGAATATTTCCGAATCTTGATTCTATTTAGTATAACATCATATAGCATAAAGTGTGATAAAATATCAATAATTAACTTGAAGAATGAGTCAAGTTAATGAAAAAACACATTGAATGATTACATCAACTACATAATATATTAGAGAAATTTTGTGTAGGGATTGTTTCTTCTAAAATTAACTTTCAATATTCATCCAAATGATAAACGCCAGTGAAACATGCGTTAGTATCGTTTGCGCCGTATATTTAGAGGAAAACAAATGATACCGAGGGAAGAAATCGCAGACCTATGTTTTAAAGGAAGAATAATGTTGATATTATAATGACATAGGTAATTAATAGAAACGTTTATATAATGTCAGATTTGTCAAACTTCTTAACAATTTAAATGGTCTAAAAAAGATTGTCTCCTCTAAAGCTGTGACACATGTAAAATACTCATAGTGTTTCAACTCGGGAACGTTGTAAACATAGGGGCAATAAACGCTTTTGGTCGATGATTAGATGAAATATAACAACCCCCGAGTATTACGACTTGGGAACGCTTCGAACGCAAGGAGAACAAACGCTTTTGGTCGATGTTGAGACTCGTTGCCGCATCGTCCAATCGCCGCATGTTATCTAAGTTATCATTTTTATTTTAAATAAAATCAAGCCGTTTTTTTAAGTTGCTTCGAATCGATTTGATTTAAGTTTGAAAAGCGGAAAAAGATGAAAACATAGACTACTTGTATAGGTGAGAATGCCTCGAGAAACTTTCAAATATATTTCACCGGTTGTAGTTAACAATCTTTATTTTTTATTACTGATGTAGTGTAAATGAGAGTCGGATTTGTCATCTTTCATACGTACCATGGAACAATTTATTTATCACATTTTAATTTCGGCTCCTTGCAGGTTCATTGAACTCATCTTAAAATTCAATTTCTTTTCAAATCACCTAAAATAGCGTCGACTACAACTACACCATTTCTAGTAACCTCGGTTCTTATAATGTACGTTTAGTTTGCAACACGGCAATAACGGTAGCTTTGAACTGCCAGAAATATTTTAAAATCTTGAATACGTCATATAGAATAATTACGACAATAGATTTTTTCCAATACAATATGTTATTATCTGATTACTAAATATCGATTTTTCTCCCATGGGAAATTCACCGTGTCTTTTAATAGAAACAATTGAGATAAAAAAAAATTTCCAAGTTATCAACCCCAGCCGGGTTCTCAAAATGAGTTCAAAAATTAGATAGGTTTCCTTTCAATGATATGGTGTTTGTAATTAATATCTTTTTTTTTTTAATTTAAACCTCAAAACTGGACGATAGTTTATTCAGAGAAATTGATAATTTCTATTCTAATCAGGATTATTCTCAACACTTAAATGTTGACATATTTTTTATAAATCCACGTTTGGAAACTGTCCGTCGGATACTGATAATTATTTAAATGAATAGTTTCTTCGTGATAACAAGTTGTTGGAAATCTAGAATTTTCTTGAATCGAATAAAATCTTCGTGACCCGCGAATAAAATGAAAAATCCTATAAAATTATTCCTATTCATGTCACAGTTACGTTATGACGTGAAACAGCAACAATTTTTTAAAAGTGTATCTAAACGCACATTTGTTTGCGTTTGTAGTATAAAGAGTGAACATGTTCCACGAATGAAAAAAATGTCACAACAACTAAATTTTATAACTTCTAATTTATCTATTTTCTGAATGATAATTGTGTATATATTATAGTTTCCATGCTCACGAGAACAATCCAACTTCGTTATTTCCAATGAATCTTTTCTACAATGGTTTGATTCAATTATCTATGTGCTATTCATGGTTTAAGCTTAAGCTCGGGTTTTAGCTCCTGCTTCAATTTTGCATTTGCAGCGTTTTAATATTCTGATAGGAGAAAATAACCTACTTACGTTATTCTACGCTAATCATGAGGTTGGGATCGACTGAATTAGAATGTATCTCAACAATCATTGACCACCCTACTTGATGGGATGTAAATGTAACAGTACAACAGTACTATAATAGAGTTATTGCTGTCTAAAATAAAAATGTGTTGCATTAAGAGAAAGCTATGATTTACAAATAGTACAAAAAATGTTTGCAAAAAAGTTGATACGATTAAAATCTTTAAAAAGGAGGTTGAAATGGATATCCTTGTTGGCTGAAAAATATGTTATCGATGAAATATAAAACTTTTCTGTTAAAAATAATGAAAAAAAATATTTTTTTAGTGTAATTATGACTTCTATACCGTATGTAGAACGAATAGTAGAGTTTTCTTCAAAAAATATTGAAATCAACACGACTACCAACAGTACGAATTTTACTCTACCGGCACAAAATATAACGTGTGCTCCATATGATGTCTTGGTCGAGGTAAAGCATTTGTTTTTTATGGCAGTTGAATGTCTCAAATTAATTTTGCTAGACCGAATTTATTGCGAATGTTTTACAGTTTGGTTCAAGCATTCATACACCACCCTACTGTGCGTAATAAAGTGGCCGCTTAAATCCGCCGAATTGACGTGGTATCAATTTGTGATAAATTATAAATGAAAACATGATTTGAAGTAATAATATTTAACGATAAATTCATTATTTTTGTATTGCAGACATGGCTTCTTTTTGACGTTCATCAACTAGCCCGTGTCCTGATAACCTGGTCTCTATTTGTTTTGAGTGCAACAGGAAACGTATTTGTTATATACTCACTTCGTTTGATGAAAAGGCAACATCATTTTTTCATGTTTCATCTAGCATTAGCAGATCTTGCTTATGCGTGCTTTGTGTTGCCAACTGGTAAGGTCGGTTACATAGGTTCCATAATATGCACTAACATGGGGGCGATATTGCGTAGATGATTGCTCATTCAAGCAAGTTCACAGGCCACACATCCCTCATTCCAAAAAATCAAGTTACCACTAAATCTCCATAATCCTAAGAGAGGAGAAGGGGGTTTACGCTTAACAGCCTGCATTAGTATTTCGTAAAATAAAGCAGTAACTTCTCTAAAATGCCATGTCTTGATTTTTTGTATGGTGAATTATTCAAAATATGAGTGACTTTAAAATATATTTTGGAAACAGCTTTGTTTTAAAACTGACGCCTTTGTTATTTCTTGTCAAATGAATGGATATTCACTTTGCCAAATCGGGAAGCAAAATGACGTTAGTCGTTCAGTGATTTGAAGTTTTTGTCTATAACAAAAGCGTTTCTGAAAAATCAGCCCACTGCTCATATAAAAATGCACTTTTGAATCTAAATTGTTTATTTTTTCATCGACTATGTTTTCAATATTGAATAGAGTGTCAGCCAAGCGAATTTAGCTCGCACCTCAACCTGAACGGAATTTGGAATATAGTTGAGTTAAATCTCTTTTTGTTTTATAGATGCGATATGGAACACAACAATGCAATGGTATTCCGGTGACGCTGTTTGTAAACTAGTTCAAATGTTGAAACAGTTCGGAATGTATTCCAGTTCATTTATGGTCGTGGTAAGCCACATGATTATGTCCAGTTTTTACTTTTATCTGAACGCATCTGTCTCAAATTACAAGTATTTCGGCAAATGCGAGTGTAGTTGCTGATTCCGCACCTGATTGGGCAGCATTTTTTAGCAACAAAGGTGACTAGTTTGTCAAATTGATCAATGTAAACAAATTGAGATTTGTTCAGCGCAAAAATGAGTAGAATACACATGCTTGAATTCTCTTAAATATTTTAGTTTTCGTGAAATTACGCAGATTGCCACTGTATAATATATTCTTCATATTGACTAATTTCCTGAAGTATACTGCAAATAAGCAGTCAAATTCATCAACATCAAAATAGTTCAGAATCAAGGCAGGATATGATATATGTTTTAAATATATCGCCGTCAATGAAGTTTTGTGATATATTCAACATCCTTGGCCCATGGCTTCAGACGTAGTAAGCAATTTTCTTATACCTTACGCTGGTGGAGATCAACCAGCTCGTTGTCTTTTTGTAAAAATACGTTGCCAGCGTGAAACATTTTTGCTACTCTACTGCTCCTCCTCGCGGTTATCCCAAAATGACCGAACTGAATCCCCGAGTAAGTGTCTTTGTGAATAAACAGTTCTATTTGTAATCTGACTTATATTTTGAATATATATATATATATATATATATATATATATACAAATTTATTTACCCATTCTACTACACTTTAACACAACGCGTTTTATATTTTTCAGGTAATCGGAGTTGACAGAGTAAGAACAGTGTTGTATCCCATTGCAGCAAGTAAAACAGAACATCTTGGAGTTGTGATGGTCAGCGTTGCATGGGCAGCCAGTGCCGTGTGTACGATACCAGCGGTAAATGAATAAAGCCACTTTTAATGTTAATGGAATATTACTCTTGTTGACTAACGCACAAGTTGTATAAGATATAGACAGAAAATTGTGAAAAATTTTATTGAAAACCATATGTGCAAAACGGAGGAAAATTAGATCCAAATAATGAAGTTAAAACATCTATTCCATTCTTATTCTTAAACTCAGTGTCTGGTTTTTATTCAAATAATACAAAACTTTTTTCATCTAGTAATACCATTTATAATTCTTGTGAACAGGGAATTGTGTTCTCAATTCTTCGAATCCCAACCTGTGAAGGAGTTTTTATAACGCAATGTGTTGACAATGAGATTGTGCCGAAGCAATATCTCAACTCATATCATTTCTTCTCAATGTTGGCGAGTTTTTTACTCCCATTCTTTTCAACTATCGTTTCCTATTCACTAATTGTTTGTGAGATTTCAAAAATGAAAAAAAGAGATAGACGTGAGTATTTTATATTAGAATATTGTGCCATCATTTCCATTGTGCCCTTTTTGTATTCTTTGAAGCGCGCTGAATTTTAATATACTAATATCTTTCAAATATCAACATCAAAATCTTCTCGTATTATCATGTTTTTCAGAGTTGATGGGTCGTCGAAACAGCGTTAACAGTGAATCGATACAAAAAGCTATCAACAGGACAATATTAATGAGAACTTTGATTACTTTAACATTTTTATTATGTTGGGGACCGTACTATGCTAAAGGAATAGTCGATTGGTTTATCAGAGATATATCTATGCCTGAACCTGGTGGAACAGTAAGTAGTATGATTGAAATGATTATATAATATACATTCCTATGATAAATATTAAAAAGTCATTGCCCTGACTTTTTTACGCCTCATGTTAAAAACAATTTATTTGTTACAGGTATATAAGGTTTCCTATATACTCATGTACTTCAACTGTTTTTTACATCCTATTGTATTTGGTGTTTTCTTGAAAGAAGTTCGAAAGAATTTTCAGTCGTGTTTCAAATGCTTTTTCAGGCGGAAGGATAATCCCAGGTAAAAGAATTAAAAGTCTCATTTGTCGCGTTCTATTTACTAAATATAGTAGCTCATTTAACAGTTAATAGGACGAATCATATTTACTAACATACTACGGTGGTTCACTTGTGTGATTTTGAGCCATGAAGAATATGAAAAGAACATCGATGAGAGTTTTGTTTCGTGCCTACATATTACTTGCCTCAAAAATGTCCCAGTTGTCCCAGATTAATAACATCGCTATACAGAATGCGATGTGTTTTGCGTGAATAGAATTCATGCTATGTTCTGGCGTAGAATATATATAAAACTTTAGCATAAAGTTAAGATTTATTCAATTAAGAGAAGCGGGACAGTTAAAATCCAATTGCGGGTCAATAGGGACACGACATTTTAGAAGATACACTGTACATATTCATATTTCCATTGTGGGATTCATGTGTAACAGAGGGTCCATTACAATAGAATGAACATATAAGCATATCAGTAACACAACAACAAATACGAAGCAAATTTTCTTCCCCAAGAACGAGTATATATATATTCCACCCTGGGAAGGAACTTCTCCACGACTGGGAAACGTGGCAATAAGGCATGATCCGTTGGAAGGAAACCTATAGCACAATCTAAAAGATATATAGGCTATATATGTTGTGTGTGTGAATTTCCCGTACGTGCTCTGTTATTAAACTGTTATTGTTTCGTATGAAAGATTTTATGGAATTTTCAAAATACTTTTATTTTTAACAGGATTACTTTCAAGCCGGCCCCCAAACAGTCAAATGCCAGTCATCTGACTTGTTCAAGTAATCTTTTAAGTTGGAATACAAGAAAGACGAGCGCTTTATCAGTTTCTGATATGAATGAGAATCCCAGGCTAAATCTCTGGGGAAGAAACTCAGTTCCAGCGATTAAAAGCGAACTAAATAACAGGACAGATTTATGAAGTTATCTTCAATTTCGCACCATTTCTGATGCTTCGTGTTTTAACCTTTCATATTTTCAACGAGTTCCAAGTTTACGAAGAAGCCGGCCAGAAATAGTTTGTGCGGGTGGTGGACATGGAATTTTATCTCGTTAAATCTGAGCTTTGGCATATTTGTGATGGGATCATGGGGAACTGATGAGAGCCTATACCATGACCTCGAACCGACTGGCATATTAAAACAGCTTTCCAAGTACGCCTGTAGAATTTTTATTCAGTTAGAATGTTGGAAACAGATTTAAAGCTTCGCCAATTTCAGGCCAATTTCACCATAAACATTTTATATAAAAACCTTTCAGATTCATTTTTGCGCTATCTAGTACTACGCTATACTCTTGCTTTGGATGCTATCTAATTTTATATTTAAATGTGTAAATTTGTCTTGAACATTTTTGTTCTAACTGTTTTGTAGTTTCATTGACTCCCGAACTTTCTATACTGGCATTTTAGTTGTTACTTTGTATTGCACCGATGAAGATTGCCATGTATAGGTGTCCATCAGAGCTCTGGTTATTCAAACGAGCTGTTGATAAGCTGCAAGTATTTTAATAATGTCAATACTTCATGAGAAATATGGAGGTTTGTGTGCTGCAAAACATAGTGAAATTCTGAAAAAACAATTCAAATATTAAACACAAGAAGTAGCGTTGTATTGTAATTACCTTGAGTCGACTCAGTATGCATTGAACTTTACTAACATTGTATTGCGCAATTTTAGATCTCGATTTCAAATATTGCTCGCGTTTTTTCTAACCCATCAAAGTTCCTCAATTCCGCCCCTAGTGGCCTTGTGTCGCCTAATTTTATATCGCTTTTTGTGTTTTACAATTTCTAATTATTTATTTCTGTAAATTGTTTAATGTTCCTTTTAGTTTTTTCATATTTTTTTTTTCAAATCAGTGTACCAATGCTTGTTTTACTGAAATTAAATCGACTAAACGCTAGTCAAACACATCTTCAGCGTCGCAGCCGTAGCATTGTTGTTATTTTTGGGGGTTTCGCCTACGTGCTAAAGCATCCCGGGGATTTTAGTTAAAATTTTAACTGCTCAAAATGGTGGTGTCGCAAAAAAGTCTCCAGCTATCTGATAGTTTACCCGTACTTCACACTCCACGTGTGCTTGTTGCGTTCACGTACCCTGCGTTGATTAGCTGCGTTTCCGCAGGAGGCGTTTGTGTTTTTATAGTTGTTGCCGATAAGACTAGACACTTTCGTATTATAACTTATCTAGATGAAGTTCTAGTTTTATTTGTCCATGCTAAGATTGCATGAAATTGTTATTATGATTATACCTATATATGTAAGGTGGAAAACGACTACCTAATGAATTAAATGGTAACGCCCGCGAAATGAAAAACCTACATGGACACTGTAAGTTACCTTCGTATGTAAAACTGGGAGTAGATTAGAAACTATGGAATTGGATATGTAAAAGTTGATCGGTAGACAGTCTTTAGTATATCTGTTAAATTTGGTCTGGGGAAGTCTTTAGTATATCTGTTAAATTTGGTCTGGGGAACTTGCTCAAACACTCGCAAAGAATCTCATTACTAGGCGTACCACACGTCCCGGTTTAGCCGGAACAGTCCCGGTTTTGACGAGCTGTCCCGGCGTCCCGGCCGGTTGACTCAAATGTCCCGGTTTGTCAGCACGACTGTCGTGGGTAAAAAATTCATATTCATTATTATTACAATTTTTTTTAACGATGGCAGCCCATTTACCACTGTTTTGCGACACACTTCGCTAGTTCAGAGAGAGAGAAATTGCTCTATTGTTATGTCACAATCGGTATATGTTTTACTATCACACTGCTATTCATTGCCAAAGTTTTGACTGCACCTCTAAATTAATTTTTTTTAGCCTGAATTTGCGTTAACTTGTAAATATACACAGTTAGAATTTCTGATGTCCGCTGTCTGATAAGCGGATTCGCTGATTTTGCACGTTTAGCCAGAAATAAATGAAAGTCGGTGATTTTTAATTGCATTGCTCCGCTGTTCTCCTCTGAACCTAATGATGATTTACTTTAAACCAGTTTCGTATCAGTAACCTTCGATGCATCAAACAGAAAAAATTTAAAGCTTGTTCCAGTTGTGGTTCGTTATTTTTTACCTGATGTTGGTGTGAAGATAAAACTATTAGAATTCAAATCTCTACCCATGGAAACCGCCAAAACTTTTACTGAATACTTGCTCTCTGTTCTCCGAAAAGTTGTTGGATTCTGTGCGAATAACTGCAACACCAACTTTGAAGGCGTAAAAAGACGAAAAACAAATAATGCTTTTTTTCAAACTAAAAGAAATATAACCGGTATAGATTGTGCGGCTCATGTAGTTCAACACTGCACTGCGATGCCCTTTCCAACATGCCGTAGATACTTTGCCTGTTTGTGTTGTTGTCAGAATGTATTATTATTTTTACATTCACACTGTCCGAGTAACAGAGCAAAAACCATTTTGCGATTTTGTTGATATTGAATATCAACGGCTATTACAGCATGGCAACACTCGGTTTCTCCCTTTATTACCTGCTTTGCAAAGGATTACGGAAATGTTTGAAAGATTGAAAAGTTATTCAAATTCTCAAGAGTGATGTTCTACCGTAGTTGTATATATTTACGGTCCTACTCTTATGCTTAAATGTTCCAACGTACGAACTTCACTTGAAATTTGTCCTTTGCCAGCTCACCTACTTCAGCAAAATTATTTTAATTTTGGAAAAAGATAATAGTAATGCCGTAGATCAGGGGTCGGCAACCTACGGCCCCCGGGCCGGATCCGGCCCGCAGAGTATTATAATCCGGCTCGTGACGCTTCACTGAATTATAGTAACAAAACAGCCGTTTTGACGATTATATTTTTTAAACTAAATTATATTATAACCTTACAAGTATATAATTCACAATTACTCGTTTAATGTGCCTATAATTTAATTATAATTAAACAAATTGCAACAAAACGCAGAAAAGTTGATGCTAAGTGCAAATTCAATGGCGCTGAAAATATTCAAATGGAATTTTTTGAGATGCAATGAAGAAATAAATCTATATTCTATTCGAGAGATGTATTTATTACTGCTTGATTTTTATTATAAAAAGTATCATCCGTTCGGTTTCAGCTTTCTAAAAATATGTGCGGCCCGCCAATGACTCGCAACCGTTAATTTTGGCCCGCGATCGACAAAAGGTTGCCGATCCCTGCCGTAGATGTCAGATGTGAAGCTAAATTTGAAGGAAAAAGGGTAAAGTCTGATAATTCCGTCGCAATCACTTGTAATTCTGAAATCCTTGGAACGCTCTGGCGAAATCGACGTAACTCTATAATGTTTGCAATTTTTACGAGAAATGTCTATCGTAGCTGCATGATGAAGCCTACAATGCTGTCAGGCCAAACATATGAACAAATTTGAAGGGTGAATTAAACTGGACTGAAGTGATTGGTCTTCAAAATTGATAAATGATATATATGTTTGGTTGGCTAGTCAGATTTTGAATAGCGATGCACTTTTTCGACAAATACCGAATATTAGCATTTCGAATTTGCAGAAACTCGTAGATTTTGTTTGCCGGAACATCGGCATCTGTTGAACGGATTTTCTCCATTGTTAAATTTTTTTGATCCGAAAGAGGGTTCAGAATGCCAGAAGAATATATAAAAGCACTCGTGACCTGCAAATTTAATGGTGATGTCTCTTGTTATCAGTTTTATGAAAAAATCAGAACATGAACTTTTGAGAAGGGTTCCATCTGCGGACAATACTTTTGGTCTAAATAAATAATACTCGTACAAACTACTTTTTTTGTGTTTTTCCTAATTCAATGATCAGTAGAGATTTACAGCCGTATATACCCTTAATGACATGGTAGACGTTTCAATATTACAAAGACTGGCAATCGACCGAATGTTTGCCAAATCGCACCGTCCCGATTTTTTGTTTCAGATTTATGGTAAGCCTACTCATAACTGAACTACATTATAGCGACGACGAGGTTTTAGAATAGATGATAGTGATTGGCACACCAGTAACAGTTCTATGTCGGCCAGTTCCTGGCGTACTCCAGTCTCATATTACATATTCAAAAGCTAGCACAGTAGTCAGACTGTCGAGATGTACGATACCTCTTTTGCCGCCGATACCAACTAAAACGCCGATACCGATACCGATATTACAAGAAGGCCGATACTATATATTTATTACTTTAAGTGTGCAGGGCAGACGGGTTAAAAAAATAGCCCTTGAGTATTATTCATATTACACATTATTTCAGATTGAAAAAGCGACATAATACATCATAAGAAATTGATGTTTAGGATTCTGATGCGTTAATTTATATGCATTATGCACTGACGCTAGTAATCTTGCTGTTAAATTAGAAACTCATAGGCAGGGATGTCCAATTTGAATTTAAATATTGGTATCGCGGCCTTCGAATATCGTTTTTCGTGTTTATAAGAATATCGAATTTCGCCCACAGATCTTAGCGCTGTGTCCACGTTTTAATTGTAAACATTTTACATATATTTTGTTTTGTGTTTTATCGTAATCTTGCGTCGCGAAAAATATATTACTACAGTCGACATGAAAGGATTTCAATCAGCGCCGACAAGAAATACCTATAACACGTCGATGATGTTTTTGATTTTATCATTTTATAATATTTTACAAATATTATCGTATATTTCGAGACAGTCTGGGCGGCCACGGCAATAAATCTATGAGTAAATTGTGTATTAATTAAACAAATTTAAAATGAATGGAATCACAATATTTAATACCTGTGTAAAGAGATATAATTGTGCCGGACTTAGCTTACCGATATCGATGGACTAAAATACACTCGCGCTAGACGATAAACGGTCAGAATTAATAATCATGCTGAAAAATGAGTGTACTGACTTCGATTCTACTGTATGATTTGAAACTGGGAGCCTAGTTGCTTTATATCACACTTCATTTATATCACACTGAATCTCATGACTGAATGCTAATTATCAATGCCTAATTTCTATGTCCCTGGATTTTAGAAAAGTGAGTAGTATTTATGTGGGGGATTTCACAATGTATTCGGAATCTCAGTATCGAAAATATGTTTCAGAAAGTATTCAAAATAGTCAATGGTTATGACCATTCCTGCTCATAAGGTTTGCCTATCAGGGTGGTAAAATAAATGAATATTATCAAATTGATACATTGAGTTACGTCTTACGTGCGCAAGATTATGTGCCAATGTAACTACATATTTTGTATTTTACACATTAGAAAATCCACTAATATTCGATTGATATATTTCTTCATAATTACTATTAAGAATGTCAATATAAAAATTTGGCCGCGAAAATACCCAGATTAGTTAAGCGTTTGAATGATAAATAGCTAAGAACAGGTCAGAATCCTATTCCTGTTTCTACTCGCGGGTGCATGGCTCATAGCTCACGATCACTCAATGCAAAAAATAATTTAAACATCAGTATTCCAACCTTTTTTCAAAACATTCTGGATCATATCAAAAAGGAAAATATATAGGAATTATCGGTCTTCATTTAGCTGATACCGATACATTACCGATACCAAAAATTTGGCCGATATTGCTGATACCGATATAACATATCGGTACACCACTTGGCCAGGCCCGGCAAAACAACGAATAAGAGGTCAAGCATTAAAGTATTTAAAAACATGAAAAAATAAATACCTAACACGGACATTCTCGTCCGGGACAATTTATAGTGGACTTTCCGTATTGGCGCGTATGCTATGATTCGACAAACGTTTATTTCTGTTCCGAGTGATAATACTTTGTTATATCTTATACATGTTTCTGAACGTCTCAAGAATGATCAGTTATCAACAAAGTTTTAAAATAAAAGGATTGGATTCTCAATTCCATGTTTTATTGCAGCTTTTTTTTATAATCCATGACATGAGTCTCCGTTCCGATGAACTCCTGATGATTATAAGAAAGGTGACTAGGATTCATCCAGGGAACTTATTTGTGATATGCCCTGTACATATTGTTTTCGCTACTTGCTGGATCCTGTGCTTCAAAGATCGCGTGCTGGTTTCGCGTTTATTCCTCATCGATGGTACCATCTGAAACCAAATTCTGCGACTTGATATCTCTTCAGAATGCGCTGTGGCGTTAGCAGAACGTAGCTCCTGCTTTCAAAAACTGTGTGTTCCAACGAATCTCGATAAATACCCCTCATTAGTCTTTTGGCAATCATTAGAAAAGTGCTTGATTTACTTATCAACACAGTAGTCATTATTGGCGACCCAAATAGAATCACGTGGTGTTTAAACTGATAAACAATAAGGCTTAGGCTTTCCTCGGAGAAGTTTTCCCGGCGATGTTTTAATAGTTACATATTATATGACATATATATGATATAGTACATCGGCCATAGGGTACATCATTCGTCAACTGGATATTTGAAAACTTTTTATAGAGCTTGGCACACCCACCTCCTGTACCAAGGCAGGCACCTACGGCTAATAACATTTATGTGGGGGATTTCACAATGTATTCGGAATCTCAGTATCGAAAATATGTTTCAGAAAGTATTCAAAATAGTCAATGGTTATGACCATTCCTGCTCATAAGGTTTGCCTATCAGGGTGGTAAAATAAATGAATATTATCAAATTGATACATTGAGTTACGTCTTAAGTGCGCAAGATTTTGTGCCAATGTAACTACATATTTTGTATTTTACACATTAGAAAATCCACTAATATTCGATTGATATATTTCTTCATAATTACTATTAAGAATGTCAATATAAAAATTTGGCCGCGAAAATACCCAGATTAGTTAAGCGTTTGAATGATAAATAGCTAAGAACAGGTCAGAATCCTATTCCTGTTTCTACTCGCGGGTGCATGGCTCATAGCTCACGATCACTCAATGCAAAAAATAATTTGAACATCAGTATTCCAACCTTTTTTTAAAACATTCTGTTTCATATCAAAAAGGAAAATATATAGGAAATATCGGTCTTCATTTAGCCGATACCGATACATTACCGATACCAAAAATTTGACCGATATTGCTAATACCGATATATCGGTACACCACTTGGTCAGGCCCGGCAAAACAACGAATAAGAGGTCAAGCATTAAAGTATTTAAAAACATAAAAAAAATAAATACATAACACGGACATTCTCGTCCGGGACAATTTGTAGTGGACTTTCCGTATTGGCGCGTATGCTATGATTCGACAAACGTTTATTTCTGTTCCGAGTGATAATACTTTGTTATATCTTATACATGTTTCTGAACGTCTCAAGAATGATCAGTTATCAACAAAGTTTTAAAATAAAAGGATTGGATTCTCAATTCCATGTTTTATTGCAGCTTTTTTTATAATCCATGACATGAGTCTCCGTTCCGATGAACTCCTGATGATTATAAGAAAGGTGACTAGGATTCATCCAGGGAACTTATTTGTGATATGCCCTGTACATATTGTTTTCGCTACTTGCTGGATCCTGTGCTTCAAAGATCGCGTGCTGGTTTCGCGTTTATTCCTCATCGATGGTACCATCTGAAACCAAATTCTGCGACTTGATATCTCTTCAGAATGCGCTGTGGCGTTAGCAGAACGTAGCTCCTGCTTTCAAAAACTGTGTGTTCCAACGAATCTCGATAAATACCCCTCATTAGTCTTTTGGCAATCATTAGAAAAGTGCTTGATTTACTTATCAACACAGTAGTCATTATTGGCGACCCAAATAGAATCACGTGGTGTTTAAACTGATAAACAATAAGGCTTAGGCTTTCCTCGGAGGAGTTTTCCCGGCGATGTTTTAATAGTTATATATTATATGACATATATATGATATAGTACATCGGCCATAGGGTACACCATTCGTCAACTGGATATTTGAAAACTTTTTATAGAGCTTGGCACACCTACCTCCTGTACCAAGGCAGGCACCTACGGCTAATATGATGAGATTTTTTTCCCTTATTAAATCTTTTCTCTGATTGCAAAAACAACCTCTTTGTTGATGTGCAGCGCTCCAAAATACAACCTCAAATTCTTTTCTGGCTTCCCGGTGCCAAATCTCGAGCCTACATAGTTTTTAATATTCGCCACGAACATCGAGGCACATTTTTTCCAAGAACTTCAATTATGTTGTTTCACTACCTCAGCTGTTTTCCTGATTATATTGTCGAGAACTTTTGCAAGACCAGTGTTAATCGATATTTACCGACGTGTGATTTACCAACATAATTCTGTTTGGGGTCAGTAGCTCTTCAGTTGTCGCCGTAACTTCTATCGAGGGCGAGTCTTCGTTGCTTTTGAATGAGTGGGCGTAATCTTGCTGAAAAATTTTCGTATTGAAATGGTTCAGAATGAGAAGCTTGGAGATATCATCAGATTCGATTCAACAAGCCAAATTCTTAAATTCAGCGGCGTAACATTAATAATGAATCAAGAGCAAGAACACTAGTTTACTTTAAACTTGATCCAGCAGGAATAACATGAAGAAAGGTTGATATATATATTATAGACACAACGCTGGAAAAGGACTGTTCATGAATAGACCAGATCATAGTTGATACCAATCTATTTCTTGAAATAAGGAAAAGACCTAGGATCATACATGAGTAAGAACACGCTTGTTCGTTGAGTTTATTAAAAAAGACGCGAGAGAGGGAGAGGAAATAGTCAACATTAATATCAATAACAATATTGTTCAATGTTATAAAAATGCGTTTTTCAGGGTGTCCTTCATAAAATGACTTTCATTTTTCAACATATAGCTGAAAACTTAAACTTGAGATAATTTCAAAAGCATCATTCAAATATTGAGCTGTTCGCAATGACACTCCTACAATAAAATTAGCACCGTGAACTCAATTTTATATGACCTTTAGTCGAAAATTGGAGGAACGAAACGCATTAACACTTCGAAAGCGCCGAAACAAAGCAATTCGCTTGAATGGTCTAAAATGCTTTTGTGTACGTGCGAAAATTTCCAAATATCAATTTTGTGTTATTCGCTCGATAATAAGTCCGATTAAAAATAATTGCAATTACTTGCAAGTCTTGTTAGTGTTATTCAACACCCTTAGATGAACCATACCATCCAAACGTTATCGGAGACTTTCAGTCACAGAAAGCAAAAAGATCTCGACCATTAACTATATTATATAAAAATAATTGAAACAATATATAACATATGAAATGAATTGAAATGCCCTGAGAGAATATGGGTATTACTCGATCATGTTTGTTCAAACATGGCAAGTTTATTAATCAAGTACTGACCATAGTTGAACAAACATACTCCGATAACACCAAAATTCTATCGTGGGTGATACATAGAAAATAGTAGAATGGTACCAGTCGTAAACTTTGGAACAAAATATGAGAAAATAAGAGAAAAAATGGTAAATATAATTTGAACCGACCAATTAATTCGTTAAGAAACATTTTATTTAGAGGACAGGAACACACTCCTTGCACACTTGCAAAAGTATTAAAGTAACATAATTGTTATTCACAGTATTTAATTTGCCAAGTTTGCGAAAATTCAATAAGGGATTCTCGGATAACATAGGTTTGGACCTGGAGAGCTGCGTGACGGGGATAAGTAAAACACTTGCGCTTCGAACACGACATACTATGTTCCAATCACAACCCAAAATTAGGGCAATTTTAAACGATTTCAGTGGGTATAATACGCAAAAACAAACCGATAATCGAAAGACTTGCAATAGTGCATTCATATTCTATTTGTAACCGTTTCTTGAAAAATATTTCGCCTGGTATAAATTTAATGGACAACAGAATCATCCAACTTCTCTTCCTGCGGTCGCTTTCAGCAATATCGAACAAATATGGTAATGCTGTTTTTGTAGGCAAAATTCCTCAATAGAGATGGTGACATTTTCTAGACGTTCGTAGATTTTATAATATCATCACTGCTGTTAGTCATCTCTTTATTATTATTATTTAAAGCATTTCCGGTGGCGGGTTCTGCGGTCACTTTGACCGAACCAGGAAGCCTAAAAGATACAGTTGAAGCGCGAGGAACAATGCCGTTATTTTCCGGATTTTCCACAACTCGATCCGGATTTTGACTCGAATCTGGTGTGGATCTGTCACCACATTGTTTGTTATCATCGGAGCTATTAGCACTTATAAGTCTATCTCTTTCTCCGTTGACTGGTTTTTGCGCATTGCTATTACGTTTTACTGGTTCCCGCATATTTTTGGCAAGTGCGTATCCGTTAGTCTGTGAATAACGTTCTTTTTCGGGGGACGAAAAGCATCCGACATGGTTATCACTGTAGTTCACACTGGAAATATAAAAAACAAAAATTTAAACAATTGACAATCATTTTTTATATCCTAATGTGGACTAAAATCATCCCGCACAAAATGTAAATTCTGGGCTTTAGCTTTTCTGTACCAAGCAAAATATTTTTTCTGTCAATAAATTGCTTATAATATTTGCTTCTAATGAAAAAAGTATGAACAAAAACACAAAAGTAAAAGCAGCACATGCAAAGTAAATTGAAGATTTCGCAAACTATTCAAGTTTCCATTTAAAAATTTCGCTCCGGCATGCAAGAATTTAGTGAAAAATCAGGATCAGGTACTAAGGACCATCATACACAAATAGCTGAGTATTGTGAATTTCTGCAATAAGACTATCTATTCACATTATACTTTGCAGCGAAATCGTTATATTATGTTAAGTTTACTTACGATTTTCTTTAGAAAAAGATAATTTACATATATCAGCAAAAATTTCGATTTCCGTAGTTGGAAAAAGGTATCAATTGAAAATTAATTTCGAATTTCTTTCTTAGTAAATTCGTCGGGCACCCCTAATAATGATAAATTTATGTTCGATAAATGAACAGTTGTCCTTAGGCATGACTACAAATAAATGACAGTCCATGATATATGATTTAAAATGATAATATATATATTTATTAAATATCGATCCAGTTTAGTCGGGCATATAGGGAAGCACAATTCTAAACGTATTAGTACATGCTGTTAATTAATGGGCATGCAGCAAACTAATGCATATGTGAATCTTCTAGTGACTTGCAACTAGAAATTAAAAAAGCAGAAATTATGATGCTATGCTACAAAAAAAAAATGAACACGCAACACAATAGCATATTATTACGCAGCAAATGAATACATGATTGATGGAAAACCCGTGAGGCTACGAGCGACACAATAAGTTATGAACAAGCGTCAGAGTCATATTTTAAAATTTCCCGGATTCGAGTCGAAAATTTTAACCTGAATCAAAAAAGTATTGCACAAGTCAAAGTTAAAGTAATCAACTTTTTTGTATCAAGTCTGAGTGGATTTCTCCATCCGAATCCAAGAGTCAGAGTCGAAATTTCTGCCTGTTGCGGGAGAAGAAGTCGGTATTTTAGATCGCTCAAGGTATAGAAGAACTTCGGCTCTACACCACATGTTTTAGCAACGTGATTTCAAGGATACATACAAGGTTTCAATCTCATTCTTCTCAATTTGCGCAACCAAAAGACGATGTTATTTCTGAAAGTTTAGCAATGCTAATTAATAGAATTGATTCCTCAAATGTGGATTTATTATGTACGAGTCGGTACTTTTATGTGAAAAGGATATTCCGAAACAGTCGATTTGATGTATAGTGCCTGTAGGTAACTTGGACTTGAACGAAAATGGTTAGAATGAATTTTGGAGGTAGGATTCATCGCAAAGCTAGTGGTTCGCTCTAAGGTTTTCGCGCAAAAAGCACGCCGGTGATTAGCGACCGAAGACTAACTAAATTTTATTCCGGTTAAAGCGACGCAGTCGCAAACTGCAAATGCCGAACGTAGCCTTTTCACCGACTATGACTTTTATAAATTGTATAGAGCCGGTATATTCAGGTGCTATACAATCTTATAAGCTATGATTATACAAAGACCTTTATTGGTCAAAGCCATGCCAAGCGAACAACGCGCATTAAACATGAGCAATAACCAAGCAGGCAATTATGTAGGCAACCACTAACTAACTTCAACGAACGAAAGAACATCTAGTTACGGGGAAATATCCTCATTGTTGTTTCTCAGAAGTGCGAGCTCTGATGAGTTAGTGTGCATCATCGTGGGTGTGTCTGATGATTCTGCGCTGCGAGAGCTGCCACCCGGATAGTAGGGACCGTATCCGGAGCTCGAACCGCCCCGAAGGCCAGTACGGGAGTAATCCTGCCCCAGGTACAAATTTGTATTGGTTGTTACACCGCTGTTGTCCATACTGTTACGACTCTGACGTCGACGGCGCAGTTCTTCAATGCTGCGAGGTAACGGGAAGGCCTTAGCAATGGCATTTATTGTCTGAGGCGACAAAAGCAAAAAATGAACAAGTCGACCGAAATAGGCAAACACTCGAATAATGCAGATGAAATTTTATAAAATTGATGTGATATGGACAGGCTATATACGGAATAACAAAAAAATGCTGAGAATAAGAAACCATTAAAACACAGTAAGTTAAACCAAACCGTTTTATTCGAAAATACTGTGCCAGAATAGAGTTAACTAATCTTGTACTTTTATCGCCCATGACATATCGGATGGGAACATACATTAAATTCAAAAGCATAAAAATTTTCATTATCTGAGTGATTGTATATGCCGATTACAAAAGATTATGATATATTCTGGCAAATGATCTTGATTACTGTAGCTAGCTATGGTTACGATGTTAATAATAAACAGAAAAAAATATATTATACCACATGGTGATAATTGCCGTGATAACTTACCGCCATAATATGGTTTAGATCATCCCAATGCTAGCATGTTTATTTGTCTTTCAAAATATGCTATTGCCTGTCCTTTAATGCAGGACTGGAAACAGTAAATAACAAGCAGCAAAAAATCTGCTTATTTAGATAGAATAAACGATATGAATGATAATGTTAATACATATGTCACCGGTATATGCTTGATAGCTAGCGCCTTTGATGATGCCATCATCATCATGGCGTCACAACATCAAATGAGGTAAGGCTAACTGCACTTGTTTGTATTCCAAAACGCAGCATCAGCTTGCAATGATATTACAAGCAAAAGCTGAAGTTAACATTAAATTCACTGCGGCTCGTTAGCAAAACTATTATCATAAACCCATTAGATAGAACTAAACAATATTAGTCAAAAAATAAATCAGCAAAGTAGAACAATTTAGATTCCAAATCAGGAAGGCAGAAAAAAAAGAGAGATTAGAGAGAAAAGTAGAGAGAGAGAGCGATAGAAAATGAGCACGTCCGCTTGGACAACGCACCGATTAATTAAAGATAAATGTTTCCACCAAGCATTGCATTATTTTTTCCCAGTAGCCATTTAGTTGTAAAAATTTGCAAGCCTTCATAGTTCTGCATGCGATAGAGCAAAAGTGTTAGTAAAGCTGAGCCTATTTGCTAAATAAGCGGCCAAATGATCAGCAAAAAAAAAAACTAGGAATTCGTGAAAAACATCGAAGCGCTATATTATTATAACATTGCTATACAATTTCCTTTAATGCCCCGTTTTCAAAAAGAATAAGATTTCTTGCCTCCATAGCCTTGTTTGAACTCGAGAAAAGTCTATTACAATGATTCAACACAGTCCTTAGCATTGATGTAGTGCAGTGGCTTAATAATGAGATTTGAGAAGCCACCAGCGAAAGAATTATGAATTTATTCGATGAGGTAATATTCATAAGGGTCGTAGGTGGAGAAATACTCAGTTTCAATAAAATTCGAAATTCAATCTATCGGAATCAAATGCTGTTTGACTATTAATATAATCAAAGAAACTGTAAATTTATTATTATATTCACGATTATAATTTGGCATTCTATTTAATTCAAGAGTCTTGCTGCAAACTTACACAGATATATTTTTGTAACGTTTCGTCTGACCGACGACTAACTGACAAATAAGTTGTAAAGTTGTTATAGCTGTAAAATGCTTGTCTGAAGAAGTCTGACCTCGGCCAGACTGAACGTTATAGAAATATATTTGTGTAAGTGTGCAGCAAGACTCTTGATTTAAATAGAATAGTCATTTTCACTCTTGCTTTAGCATCCTCGCGTTATACGCATACGGATCCACCTGCGCAAAGGCGTAGAGCAGGGAAAGGTAGTTAGTTTCACGTAACCCCAACTGTTAGTTACGTATAATTTGGCATATTATCGATTTTACTGTATTTGGATTATTTGAAATTGAGGTATAGTGTAATGTATGTATACTATGGGCTGTGCCAGCTCTTGGTGAAACATGTGGAATGGAATCACTACCGCAAGTTTCACTGTAATTATTCAATGACAGGTAGATTTGAGTGCTGAAATTAAATTGAAATCTAACGTGCATTGTGTGAAATGGAAAAAACTTGAAATTTGAATAAATGGGCAAAACCCATGCAAAAATAAATAGAAATAAACCTTAGAACCACCAGGTTTTTTAATGTGAAGCGACATTATCGCTAACAGTATCGACAACACAAAATCCAACGCTTTTTTAAGTATCTATATGTATGTTATATAATATTGCTATAAAATGAAACTTTCATTTCAATAAAAAGAGTTTTGATACAATTTTCCTCTAGTAAGATTTATAATTTTTTTGAGCGTCCGTCTGGGAAAATATCCTTATAATGTACTTGATTCGTTACACCGTTGTGAAATTATCCCTCCAAATCACAAGTTCAATTATTTATCATAATTACGCAGAAAAACGATATTACAATACATACTCAGCTGCACTGCAGGTAAATATTTTCTCCAAATGTAGCATCGTCGTTTTAAATCGGTCACGTACGTCTTTCATCAGGAAACCGTATATGAATGGATGAATAGCAGGATGAAAGTACATCAGTAGAAACAATATTGTAGCAATCTGGAAGGTATTTTAAGAAGAATCTTCAAAAATTCAACTAAGGTGTTATGGTTGTGCGAAAATTTATCACCACTTGGCTGTGTTCCTGATCTTGTTGACTTGAAACTTTTCAAGTCTCGGGTTAACGGGTAATTACTAACGCGCGTAATTCTATTGCATCTCGTAATTTCATAATGTTTCCGTATCTCATAGCGTTTCAATGATCATCTGCAACATTTCTCTCCTGTTTTTCTTGCTTCCGAGTGAGCTTTAAAATAGATTCTCACACGCGATTTACCAAAAAATATACCTGTTTCGGCGGCTTTTTGTCTGGATTAAACCAATCGTATATTCCAAATCCGTAGTACGGTCCCCAAAATAGCAGGAAAGAGAACATGACCATTCCAGTGATCTTCAATGTCTTCTTTCTTGCTCTCATAATGCTGACTGTTGAATCTCTTCGGCCAAGTCTCTCTAAAAATTAATAGGATTCAACTTCACGAATGGAGAACGTTTGTAGGATAATCACCAATGACTGGATAGCACACTATAAGTTACTCAGTTATAAACGACCTGTAGCAGGACTTTAGAATAAGATGTACGAGAGAGCCACCAACCAAAGCCTTTTATTTTGTGAATTGTGAGAAATAAGGGTGTGGCGTGACTATGGCTAAATAACGACTTCACGGTAGTCAGGTAGCCCACGGTGTGTGTAAAGCATGAGTTTAGTTCTTAGAATTACTGAAAAAAAAATTCAGGTTTTATCTAACACGTTGCTTCTTACATATCAATGCTGGGTTGTCTAAAATCGACTTTGGAGAGAATTTTCTAAACATCCCAAAAATTACCCCACTCGAGATTTCGGTTTCATCATGATTTGAATGGTATACCAAGGGGCAAGGTCTCGATTAATGGTGAGTATGGTTGATTACTATAATGAAGCTTATCTATATAGCCGATTTCATACCTCTATCTCGTCGCATCATGTTCGAAATCTCACAGATCACCAACGAATAAAATAATAAACTGAACGTCATCGGAAAAAGAAAGCTCATTGCCATAGTGAAAAAATAATAAGGCCTAAGACTCGTTCGATTCACCAAGACGTAATCAACACACTGAGAAAGTGGAGGCATATCTGGACAATACGGGACAGACTTCACTCCGAATATTATGGCCTGCAAAATAAAAATGATCGTTAAATATGCTTTCATATTAGTACACACAAAGTATTGGTAAACCTGAAGCTCCCATATAGCATATTGTGGCGATGGTAATGTAGACCTTCTAATATTGCAGGATACGGGATGATCCAAAAAAACGAACCCAGAAATTGCCTAATTACTTGTATGCAAATGGAGTAAATTAATTAATTTTGTCAACACTTGATCTTCTGATTGTGTATGATTGTACCCAAAAGTTCCAGAAATTAAAGACGTTTTGCACAAAATTCAAGTTCAACCTAGAATATCTTCCAAATGCCCTCCTCGGCGTTGGAGACAGAATTGCATTCGTTTGTGCAAAATTGTCACTCGCACGCACTGCCGTTCTAGCGATTTCCATGTTTTTACTGCAGTTGCAGCCTTGAGCTTACCAATTATTTGAGGAATGTTCTGATACACATTGTCTTTCGAATACACTAACAGATAAAAATGTGGGGGGTTCAAGTCCGATGTATGAAGTCGACGTCACTGTTGACTGCTTATCAACTTTTCCTGAAATAAATCTTTCAGTAAGTCAAGCGTGTGATTTGATGTGTGGGGAGTAGCCTCGTCGTAATGTAACCGCTGATTACTTCTACCAATCCCTCCGCGTAGCCCAAGTGATGTCCAGAATTTTCTCGGCACCACCTCGTAACGTTCTGTATTCAACGTTTCAGCTCTTCGTCTTCAAACCAATACGGACCGATCATGCCATGTTTGGAAATGATTACCCATGCAGTGCACTTACTTTACTGAGTGTAACCGACACCGTCTCTGCAGATTTGTGATCGACAATTTTGCGTAACTGATGTCTGTCCCTAATGCCAAGAAAGTAATTTGAAACATATTCTAAAAAGAACATAACTTTTGTACAAGACGTCCTAGATTTCTGAAATTTTTGGGTACAATCATACACAAACAGAAGTTCAAGCACAATCAATATTGACTACATTTTCTTCATTTTCGTAGCAGTCAAATTGTACTTTGAAATATATATAGCTAATTATTACTATTAGTAATGCCAATATTTCTTACATTATGACGTAACACATAATGATGACAACACTTCAATACCCAGTTCATTATCAAAAATGGCGGAATATCCCCATAAAACCATAAAGAAGTCATCATATGAACATCAAATTCGACAGTAAATTCAAGTACTTATAAAGTGTGATATGAGGCCTCAAAAAATATTAGCAAATAGCAAGTATAAATGGTAAAATGTAATAATAATGAACTCAAATTGATAATGAAATTTCCTAAATTCTAAAAAGAGCATAACTTTTGTACAAGACGTCCTAGATTTCTGAAACTTTTGGGTACAATCATATACAAACAGAAGTTCAAGCGCAATCAATATTGAATACATTTTCTTCATTTTCGTGGAAGTCAACATGTAATTTGAAATATATATAGCTAATTATTACTAATAGTAATGCCAATATTTTCTTACTTTATGACGTAACACATAATGATGACAACACTTTTCAATACCCAGTTTATTATCAAAAATAGCGGAATATCCCCATAAAACCATACGGAAGTCATCATATGAAACTCGTCGTCATATCAAATTCGACAGTTAATTCAAGTACTTATAAAGTGTGATATAAGGCCTCAAAAAATATTAGCAAGTATAAATGGTAAAATATAATGATAATGAACTCAAATTAATAATGAAATTTCCTAAATTCTCCATATTTGTTTGTTGGGACAAATCCCTTACATAAGCTCAAACCCAAATTCACAACTAGTATCCCACAAGTGATGCGATGTGGATGTGCGAGTTTGCCAAGCCGGAACTACTATGAGATAAGTAAGTATAAGTATAATAACAAAACGAGATCGGTTCGTAGTATTGGTACTTAACGAGATGACGGACGCGGCATCGGTTTTGGTTATCGGAGTGACGAACAATTTAAATTCAAATTATGAGGGATATTTATATCTTACTTATATTCGCAGCTATAGTATTTCAAGATGTTCCACTCCGCAACCGTTTCTCATTGCCTGTGAACTATGCAAAACTTGAATAAAAATCGTATGAATATGACATGGGGAATTCTTATGGAAAATACATTTCGAATTGATTTTACCGAGTAAATATTGTACATACCGTCGGTATTGCGCTCAGTATGCTGAGAATCCAAGCTCCTCCGACTAAATATTTTGTTCGTCTTCGTTGTTTAGTAGCTGAGTTTGCCATTGGTAATAATATACTGCAACATCTGTCCAAGGCCGTAACCTATGAAACGAGAGAAAGACTAATTTAAAGAAATTAAAACACATCAGAAGTTTAGGCTATATATATTGCAGGCGTACTTGGTTTCAACAGATTTGGTTAACATTACAAATTTTCAACCGCTCGACCACAGCACGTCGAAGTTTAACTATCCGTGACGATTTTACCAACTTGATATTTTCACTAGCCAATACAAAAAGTTATTGTTGTCATAGAAAATATCAAGTCAGATCTCGCTGATACGCATCACGCATAAGAATACGAATGCTAAAATAAAGATTTGGACTGGAAAGTCATACATATAAGTCGGTATGGGCTTTAGTGTAGAAGCCTGCAGGAATTTATACTCGAAATCATGTATTTGCCACCCTTATTCAACGTCTTTAGAACATACCCTAATAACTATACTAGTAATTTCTAGTTCTAGGCATTTGCTATAGGGATATATAAGGCTTCAAAGCTTTAAACGCAACGCCTAATTTTGCATCAAGACTTTGTGATTCACAACCGAGAGTGATTCTCTTGACATACTGCCAAATTTGTAAATAACTACGGTAAAAATACGGTGCATATTACGGTAAATGCAGTTTATGTTTTGCTCCAAAATACAAGTAACGATTACTGGAAATAAAAATACTTCGACACCAAAATAAATTAATATTATATATTAGAGACCGAAAAAGGGGTGATGTACAGTTTTTCTCGTGTATTATGGTGGAAGTCGAGATTTTTTATCAACCGGGATAAACTACCCTCTATAAATAAATAAGTGAAATATATTCACTGAAGGTTCTTACAGTAGACGACGCTAGTCGATTATAGATGAATGATATATTTATTACAAGGCATTTCAAACAGTAGGAAAACATATTCGGTTTAAAAGATGAAAGAACAAATCGCTAGGGATTGTTGTTACTTTGATTATGTGAGAGAATGTGACAAAAGTGTGACGTCAATGATGACGATCGAAGCCTTGGGTGGGCGTTTTAAATGGTGCACGTAAGTTTTAAAATTGGAATTTAAAGCTACAGTGTGAAATTTCCAGTGATTTTCCGTTACTTATAAAAGCTACTACTTGAGTTGTTGTATGTTACCTATATTCCAAGTTCAAGAGGGATCATTTATCAAAGACTGGACCAGAGCCGAAATTATCTATTCGGTGCTATTCCGTGTAGACCGAACAGTTGAAGTAATCCAATTCATTTCAAGCTTTGATCATCTTTGACTTGACTTTGTCGGTTTATTCTTTGAAATTGATGACTTTAAAACATGTCTCGAACTAAATGTTATAATTTATTATAAACTCGAGCGTTTTGGTCCGAAAACTTTTACACGAGTTGATTCAGGCGGTCAATTTCATCCTCTACTAAACTAATTACTCGAACGCACTACAACCGCTACCACGCTCAATTTAACAGCGGCTGAAAATGCACGCGTACTTACCACGACCATAAATGAACTGATATACATTCCCATCTGAGCAGACATTTGACATATTCGACATAATACATCGCCACCCAACCACTGCATCGTTGAATTCCACATTGCATCTGAAATCGAAAAATAATATGATTTCACAAATATGGACCAAAATTGGTGAAAAACGAATTGAAAAATTAGCGGATGATAAGGAGAAACGTATGGTAAATGTACCGTGTGGCTCACCCTTGAAAGGATTTGAAAGATGTCACCATATCACGCATTTTTGCACGTCAGTGATAAGGTCTCTCATCTTACGATCTCTCATCAGAATAAAAATCTCTAATGAATACTCTTTCAATCCAATAACGTAAGCATAATCAATCCAATAAGTGAAACAGCCTAGCGAGTAATCGAATGATATCGAAATTTGGTATTATAAACAATGCAAAAATTGTAACAATACTTCATAGCCTAATATATAGTGCTCGAGGGAAAATATATATCGGTCTATTTCATTCGAAAATGTGTTACATAAATTGTTTAACGTGTACTTAGGTGCTAAAGCATGTTGTGGCAGATTCCTTCGTTTGAAAATGATTCCTCCGGGCAACAAAGGTTTTTATCGATCTTATATTTTATATCATGCAATATCGAAATTCATTTATAGTAGTCGTAACATATGAACTATAGTAAAGGACATTCTGTCCATATGATATGTTGACCAATAGTGTGATATAATTTGCGTGAATAATCTAAAATTCAGTAAAAATTCACGATATATAAAGTTTTGAAGGCGTGGTCGACATCATTAAATGGACTGATATTTGAGCCATTCGGTTCACACGTAATCAGATGTTTAAGTCAAGTTACCGGTTTTTATTACAACTAAGGAATTCAAAGCAAATTCAAAATTAAAACTAAAAAACGCTTCACTATTATCACTCTTCCTAGAGTACAAGGATATGTTCCATTAATATAGATAAGCAATCAATATCAGAAGAAAATCATTTCAAGCTAACAAGTTATAAAATATCCTTCCAAAGTGAGATATTTATTAATAAGCCCCACAAAAATATCGAAAATACTTAAACAAACGAGATACAGACGAATCAATGAAAATTTAATAAAATTTAAGTTTTATCGTTCAAAAGCAACTCTAACATGACAAGAAACATCCATTAAGTCACTGTGGGTTACTTCGCTCTGAAATTACACATTTTCCATTTAACATAAGCAAATACGGACATCCCATTTGGAGAGAAAAATGCGATCAAGATCCACGGTGGTACAAAATCTCGTTTACCCTCTAACAATGGGAGTGCTGGTATAAGAATAAGAATAGATATTTGCAAGTTTTGTTGCTAATTTACCCAATTATTTATCCTAAATTCTTTTACGATGTAAAACATTACAAATGACTAGTGTAGAACAGCAAAATAGAACAAGTATCAAACAAATTAATGGGTTGTTTTTGAGGTAAAATTAAATACCGGTAAAACCATCTTAGTTCAAAATCGTTCCAAATCATCACATTTACGAATAGGAAAATCATACGCCGGCAGACACGATTAAAATTATTTGATCGATCGGGTTATTTCAACAAATGAACTTCAAACTCAATATAATATATAATATTTTTGAACAATACATTTCAACTTGCGTACTCATCTACACATGTTCAATTATACATTAGGTGTATTCTCAGAAGGTGGTGTGACCTTTATAAAAGTGGCCACAAAAGCAGCGAGAAATTTTTATTAGATAATTGAAACGCCACAGTAATCTGTCAGTGATGCCAACCAGAGTGATGTATGTTTACATTTTACAACAAATAAACGCAAAGGTTTATACCCCTCTCATGGATGTTACCGTGACAACTGCGCTAGCATTTCGTTGTACCGCTCTCCTGAAATATACATTTACAAGGTCGTGGTTTCGTAATGGCGGCGGAGGGCTTCCGAGAATAATTTTTGCATGTAAAGAACTACCACATGGTTAATATTTATTAGGCTGCTCTCGTTCTAAAGTCTAAGTCACAATTCAATTTATTTCGACTATGATAAGCTGTTAAGTAAAAATTTGTAAGTTGAGCAGACTTTTTGAGAAGAGTTGGAATTGAATTTGCATTCAACAAACAAGATTATACCGAATCATCAATTTCAGCAACATATCACACTCGCGTCAACATTATTTAAGACATATGTTTCTCAGCCTTTGGGGCCTTTAACTTCAGGAGCATTACTTTTCTGCATTAGTGTGGGGGTTCAATGTTCCGAAAACCAGCTCTTTCTTTCAAGTACTTGGGCTGGCCGTGAGATATAAACAACTGCAACATTTTTTCAAACCAAAGCACCAAGTACCTTCGAGCGTTGCTGGCCTATAGTTCTTGAACTGACTTTTATTTCGCGTTTGCGCTATATTATTTATGCAATTCCCACGAGAATCTTATCGAATCCAATTCATGCAAAGAATGTTGTTTTGATATCCATAACGACTTCAATCGCACATTTAAATATGACAATCTTCATCAAAGTCAGTCAAAGTGACAAGAAAATTGCATTGAGAAAGTCGAATAACTTACATCTCGATCAGATATGAAATGAAGATGCACTCATGCGCATGGGCATGGGTTATCACCGAAACACATTTGGTTTCATTTAAGTTGACAGATATTGCGTACGTGACTGCACTGTCATTACTGAACAATTTGTTCGATAAAAATCGAGAAATAGTGCAAAAACTCATTAGAATGGGGCGTAAAATTCCAAACATAATAATGACTAGGAACATAATGAAATTTGTGGACAAAATCCATAGTCTAAATGCAATCAATGCAAATAAACCATTACTGCTTGAAAATAATTGTCGCTGAAAATCTCCTGGCTACAGTTAAATCACCAATACAAACAATTAGTGGGAGGAGAGAAATACGTACTTTATCAAATTCTAAGCCGGAATAAAGGGAAGGCAAAACTACAGAAACAAATTTAAAAAAAAAGTAACGATTAACGAAAAAATTTTATAAAGATTTTAACAAGGATTCAGCATGAAAGACTGGCGGAAAAAATCAAACGAAAAAATCACAATTTAGTTTTCCTGTGGCCATGCTGTTGCGATAATCTACACAACGAAAAGGATGGGTCAATTGTCTACCCAACAAGAGACAGAAGCGAAATTTATGACGTTTCCATAGCGACATTTCTCCCCAACGGAGCGGAAAACAACAACTTCAAAATTGCCAATATCGAAGTGGACAATACGAAACCAATAACAACGACAGCAATGGCCATATACACTATCATATTTCAATGAGCCGAAACGTATGACTATCAACAAATATCAGATTTAGTAATACTAGTACTGTGTAACTGACCTAATTTGCCAAAGTGACGCGACACTTACGCAAGGGAGGTAAGGTCACGACAAACTAAAATGTAAATATTATATTTTGTCGTAGTAGAGCATTGCATGACCAATATCAAATTACATCAATTGACAAATGTCCATCAGGTGGTTGTATTTTTGTATTGAATTTATACCCCCAGGCATTTCGTTTAGAAGTTGTACAATTGAGAATCCCTATGTAGTTCGAGATGAATAATTGGTGCATTCTGGTTGTGACTCATGACTTAAAAAGTAAATACATAAGACATGATGTTTCACTAATTTTCATCGCCAAAATGGTTAAAAGGGTTTCACAAAATAATCTATATTACCCAGACAACAAAATTCTAAATTCTTGATAATATCCGTACTGCCAATCAGTTCAAAGTAAGTCGAAATAATTGGTATTCACAGACCTTGAACGTTTCAAACTACACTTTCAAACTTTGCATTTTTGTGGTCAAAATTAATTCAAAAATATTACATGAAATTGCAGAATTCTAGATAACAAAAATTAGCAATCAAATATTCAGTGTTCTAAATTCAACGTTATATAATCCTGCAGACGTATAAACGAAGATACAACAAAGTTTAATCATGACAGTGAACGAGTCACCAAAACTTTTCCAACCAATGCGAATTCGTGCATTCCATTTATCATTGTCTATAATTCATACAAGACATAAAATACATCTCAAAATGGCAATTCTGTCTACTTTATCAGAGGATAATACAAAATTCCATGTCATTCGAACCAATAATAACCCTGTTGTTTCATTCGATGAAATCTGTTGACGTTTTTGAGTTGAAAATTGCAGGTTTCGTGTTTTACCCAAGTTTTCATTGCGTGAGTCAGTTTCTATTTTAAACTGCATCCTAATACCATCGTTGATCTAATCTTATAAACTCACAAACTACCCGATATAATCGTGTAACGAGAATGCCGCGGACGAAAATCAGTCAAACGTAAAAACGCTTAACATAACGCTATACCCACTGTGTCTTCTAAATATATTCAGATTACAGTAACAATATAACAAGTATAGATCAGGAACTGCGTTATTGTGCCCCTATATGACCAAAACTGGAGCCAATCCCAAATGCCAATATTACCACGCAAATATTCAATCCGTGACAACTAGGAGAATTTAAAATATCCTCTTAATTTAGTTTAATTGTGTTCAACGTATCTCGCGGTTGCGTCCACCTAATGGAGCATTACTTCTCCTAAGTACCACGGTAATCTGCGGACATAACAATGTGAGTCGGAAACTGTCGGATAATATTTAATTTTGATAAGTATTTTTCAATTCAGTACAATAAAAATACATACAAAGTATATTAGTATATCAAAAGTATATATTGATCATTTCGATATCCTCGCCGGATAGCTTCTGAAACAGTCACCGAGATACGTCACTCGTTGAAAAAGCCGACTTTTTTTAGATTTCAGTGCCGGTTTGGTTGCCAAAGCAATTCAATCATGTGTGCCATAGGTACACGAAATTTTGAAATTTACAATGTCTAAAAAAAGTTTTCAATCTGTCCTGGGCCTCCCTAACACAAAACCTATGGTGTTTACCGTTTTAATTTTAGTGTTTTATATTGTTGGTTTTCAATCTAGAAATTTTGGGTTGCGGATCATATGCTTTATTTATCTTTAGAATCTCGTGGCCGAAGATTGTATAATAACTCGTTTTTCTCGCAGGAGTCACAGTTCCGTGACAGGACAAATTAAAAACTA